TGGTATGTGATTCCGTGAAACAATCGAAGTTTAAGATAGTCTTGCTCCAAGAAACTAAGCTAGAGAGTCTTGATGTTGCTACGGTTCAAAGTGTTTGGGGGGAGGGTCAGGTCAGATGGAAGGCCTTGGATGCTTCTGGGAGTGCTGGTGGTATTGCGAGCCTTTGGGACCCTACTTTCTATTCTTTGGTTTCCAACAGAATTGGTAACTTCTCAATCTCTCTAAGGTTGAAATTACAAGATGGAAAGCTTATTCAAGTTACAAACGTTTATGGTCTTGTTGACACAAATCTTCGGGCGGCCTTTTGGGAGGAATTAGCAGACTTGAGAGACCCTCAAAATTATCCTTGCGTAATCGGGGGTGATTTTAATGCAATTATTTCGGTGGATGAGAAGAATACAAGGAGTAGAAGAACTAGCTTGATGAACATGTTTGTTGGCTTCATTAATAGTATGGAGTTAATGGATGTTCCAGTTCAGGGTAATAAATTCACTTGGACTAATAATCAATCAGTCCCAACTGGTAAGGCTGGACAGATTTTTGGTATCTCCGAACTTGGATGAATTTTTTCCAAATTTCATGCAGCTTACCCTTCCTAGACCAGTATCCAACCACAGTCCTATTCAGTTTGTTTGTGGTCTCTGTAAGATAGTCAAATCCCTGTTTAAATTTGAAAATGCTTGGTTTGAGGAGGAAAATCTTATCCCCTTAATCAGATCTGTGTGGAATGAGTTGCAGGTGGAGGGTTCTTGCTCTTTTGTTATGGCATCAAAACTAAAAGCTATCAAGGATAAATTAAAAATTTGGAGTATGGAGAAGAATATGAAGTTGGATATTGAAAAGAAGGCTTTGTTGAACACCATTGTCGAGATTGACAGAACTGAAGAGGCGGGTCCCTTGACTAAAGATCCGAGACTTAAGAGGTCAATTGCAAAACTCAGATATGATAAGATGGTAGTAAAGGAAGAGATGAAGTGGAGACAAAGAGCTAAATCTATTTGGCTAAAAGAGGGGGATAAAAATACGAAGTTCTTTCATAAAATGGCAAATGCTCGTGCTAGGATCTCTTCAATCAGCAAGCTGGTGTGGGAGGACAGGAGTGGTGAGTCTAGGTCCGAGGTTAAATTTGCTGCTACTTTTCATAAGAACCTTTATACAGAGAGGTGGGTTCAAAGACCTTTTCCCTCCTAGTTGCATTTCAATAAATTAAATGAAGAGCAGAAATTCTGGATTGAGAGGCCATACAGAAGAGGAAATTAATGATGTAGTAAAGAAGCTGGAAAGTGATAAGTCATTGGGTTCATATGGGTTTTCTAATCTATTTTATTTAAAATGTTGGGATATTGTGAAGAATGATCTGATGTAGGTGTTCCAGGCATTTCATACTAATGCCTCGTTTCAAAGAAGCCTAAATGCAACTTTCATCACTCTCATTCCAAAAATTGAGGGTGTTGTCAATATAAAGGATTTTAGGCCCATTAGTCTCTTGCATAGTTTTTACAAAATCTTGGCTGAAAGGATGAAATGTGTGTTAGGCAGTGTTATTTCTTGCAATCAAAATGCTTTTGTCCCCGGTAGACAACTGGTTGACTCAATTCTCATTGCTAATGAATTGCTGGAATCCAGAAGAAGAGAGGGGACCCTGGGTGTTATGTGTAAACTTGATATTGAAAAAGCTTATGATCATGTAAACTGGCATTGCTTGAACCTGGTGTTGAAGAAAATGAATTTGGGGCAGAACTAGAGAAACTGAATCAGAATTTGTGTCAAGACCCCTAAGTTCTCCATCTTAGTTAATGGGCAACTGACGGGGTTTTTTGGGAGTTCTAGAGGTTTGAAGCAAGGTGACCATCTTTCTCCCTTGCTTTTCATTTGTGTCATGGAAATTCTAACTCTTTTTAGCAAGAAGGCTGCTGAGAATGGGCTTTGGGATGGCTTTGCAATTGCGTCGGGCAAGGAAAAAGTTAATATTCTTCAATTTTTTGATGACACTTTATGTTTTGTTGATGCTTCCCCAAGTCAGTTGTAGGTGGTGCTTGAAATTTTGAGTTGGTTTGAGGTGGTGTCTGGCCTCAAGGTTAATTTGAGTAAATCTCAGATCATCCCTGTAGGTCATGTTACAAATCTAGATGATTGTGCAGAAGTAATGGCTTGTTAGACTGCCCATCTTCCGGTCAAGTACTTGGGGCTTCCCCTTGGAGCTAAATGTACTTCCTCTAAGACTTGCCAGTGATTGAGAGAATGGAGAGGAAATTGGCATCTTGGAAAGCTAAATATCTTTCTTTTGGGGGGAGAGTTACATTGATAAAAAGCTCTCTCTCTAATCTTCCTACTTGTTTCCTTTCCCTCTTCCCTATTCCATCTTAAGTAGCAAATAAATTGGAGCAAATACAGAGAAACTTTCTTTGGAGAGGTTGGGAGGAGGAGAAGAAGGTTCATATTGTAAACTGGGACCAAGTGTCTTCCTAAGGAAGTTGGTGGGTTGGGAATAAGAAAATTAAAGAACCTCAACTCTGCCCTCCTATGTAAATGGCTTTGGAGATTTGCAAATGAAAGAAATGCATGGTGAAGAAAGCTTATTGTGGATAAATATGGAGTGGATTGGGGTGATTGGAGATCCAAGTGTCCTATTGCAAGAGGGATTAGTTCCATTTGGACAGGTATCTTGAAGATTTCTACTTTATTTGAGGAAGGAATCGGATATAAATTGGGAAATGGGGAAAGAATTAAATTTTGGAAAGATTCTTGGTGTTCTGAAGTGTGTCTGAAAGATGCCTTTCCTCTCTTGTATCAAATTTCTGTGAATCAAGATTCCTCTGTTGTTGAGACTTTCAATGCTTCTGCTAATTCTATTGGTTGGAATCTGCTTTGTAGGAGGAGCCTCTTTGATTAGAAAGTAAAAGAGTATGTGAATATGTTGGGCTTGCTTCACAATCAGAGGGTTGACTTGAACAAGGAGGGTGCTTGGAGATGGAAATGGGAAGTTGATGGTTGGTTCACTGTAAAGTCTATGTACAACAAGTTGACAAGTTCAAGTCATGTGAACTTTCCGGCTAGGCAAATTTGGAACTCAACTAGTCCTTCTAAAGTGAAGTTTCTGCTCTGGACAATGGTTTTAAATAAGTGTCTAACCATGTTGATCTAATGAAACGTGGAATTCATATTCTGGACATGTCATGTGGCTTGTGTGGTGGGTTGGCAAAAACTATTGAGCATCTTTCTTTGCATTGCCTAGTTTCGATTTATATTTGGAGGCATTTCCTTCAGGCCTTGGATGTCAGTTGGGTAATGCCAAATTCTGTGAAGGAATTGTTGTATTGTTGGAGAATTGAGGGTCTCAACAAGAAAGGGACCTTGGTTTGGAACACTATTCCAGCTGCGGTGCTTTGGACTATCTGGATTGAAAGAAACAACATAATTTTTTAGGGTAAAGCTAAATATCCAGAGGAAATGGTGCAGAAAGCTGTGGGCAAATTATTGTCTTAGGTGTCGGTAACAGAGGAATTTAAAAATCAAAACATGCGATTGTTGTTTAGTTCTCGGTCTTGGATGCATTTGTAAATCTGAGGTGGCTCTAGGCAGCCTCTACTGGAGTAGGCTCCTTTGTACTATTATCTGATTTAATAAAATACCTTTCATTTTACAAAAAAAAAAAAAAAAAAAAGACTACTGTGTGGCAGAAATGGGTTGAGGCAACCCATATACTTGAAAATAACAACTTTTCAAAGAATATCTCTCTCTAAGGATGCCACGTGAAAGAACCAGGTCAGGTTGACACGTATATCTGGAAATTAAAAAAGAAAAAAAAAAACATTTTGAGAAAATCATCTCTTAAGACTACCATGTGACAGAAACGGGTTGGGTTGACCGATATATCCAAAAAAAATATTTTTGAGAGAATTATCTCTCTCAAGACTGCCACATGACAAAAAAACAGGTCAGGTCAACCCATGTACCTGAAAATGCAAAAAATAGCAAAAAAACAGAAAATACCAGAAAATACAAAAAAAAACTAGAAAATTGAAGAAAATGCAAAACTTTTGCAAAAAAAAAATAGTAGAAAATTGCAAGAATGCATGAAAACACCAAAAAATGCAGCAATTATGTAGAAAAGCACCAAAAATTATAGAAAATGAAGAAAAATACTAGAATTTTTTTTAAAAAATGTAGAAAATACCAAAAATTTGCAAAAACAATTAGAAAAATACCAAAAAATACAAAAAATGCATAACTTTTATAAAAGTGTTTTCGTAAAAGTACTTTTATAAAGTGCTCTTATTCTTTCATAAAAGTACTTTTATAAAAGTGCTTTCGTGTAAAAGTACATTTGTAAAAGTGTTTTTATAAAAATGCTTTTATGCTTTCCTAAAAGTGATTCTCACTTTCGCAAAGTACTTTCATAAAGTGCTTTCATGTAAAAGTGCTTTTGTAAAAGTACTTTCGTAAAAGTACTTCTATAAAAGTGTTTTCCTGTAAAAGTGCTTTCGTAAAAGTACTTTTCATAAAATTACTTTATAAAATTACTTTTGTAAAAGTGTTTGCATGTAAAATTGAATTTGAACACAAAAGTTAATAAAATCTATTTTATTTCGTTTGCAATCACAAAATGAAATGTGACATGGCGGTTTGGATTCATAATGAGATGTGTGCACACTAAGAGACCTAAGTTCGAGTCACTTTAAGTGTTGTATTTTTTAGATTTGGCGAGTATAAACCCAACCCGTCCTGACCCGCACGACCCAACCCACCTTGACCCTAATGGGTACCCTCGACCCAATCCACCCTAACCCTAATGGATTACTCGACCCATATTGACCCGCCAATAGAATGAGTGAGTTCCAAGGTGGGTGGGTCAAATGGGTTGGGGCCAAGATTGCCAGCCCTAATATATATATAGACACACACACAAGAAGCACTGTATAGAATTACAAAAATATAGTGGGGAAAGTGAAGTAGGATGCAAATAAAAAAGAAGTGAAGAAAATATTATGGGTCAAATAGGACATAACTGGGTAAAGTTTATCAATTAAAATTGAATTTTGTTCAAAATTGGATTTTGTACAGAGATATATGCTTATGTGAGTTAAAATGTGGTTACAAGACCTATACCTAACTCCTCTGCAAGCTCATCCCACAAAGGAAGAAGTATCAACACAACAAGCACTATAGCAACTATTATAGCTGTCCTTCTCCATGTTCCTACTTCTGAGACATCGTTTAAGCATGGTTTCTCGGGAGTCCTCTGAATAAATAAAATCCACAAGATTAAGAAGAGAAGGAAGATAAACTATGAACATATGTAAGACCAGTTTAAAACTTTTTTTTCATACCTGACATATCAACACATAAAGCCCCCAAGGAAGTGACAGAGGTCCTCCAAGCTGAAAGAAAGGATGGAAATGAGATTCATGAAAAGCATATAGATTCTTTGGAAGAAACCAAAGTAAACGAAAAAAATAATTTTGAATTTAGGCTCAGTTTGGAAGGAGTACAAATACAAATATGCAGAGCGCAAAACCTTGTATTTTGTATTATTTAGTATACATTTGTACTGTACATATTTGTATTTGTACTCTTTCCAAACTGAGCCTTAGGACAAAAAGAACAATTCCTGCCTGTGCCATACAAATTCAGGGCAATTGGCTTAATTTTGACTCGTCACATTTTTTAAGGTAAATAAAAAAGAAAATTTATTAAAATAAAGGAAGCAACATACATCGCCAAGTGATGATAAAGATGAAATAGGGGAAATTTTTAATAAGGTTATCAGCATATAATGGTCCTGAAAGTTCATCATTCATTCACTCCAATTCTGACACAGGGTATCTCCATGAAAATCCCAAATCTCCAGACATGAAAGTATGCACATAATCATATCTTGGCTCTTCCTTCCCTCCCAACCTTACAGAAAATCCCTTTTTAGTTCAGAAAAGGGTGATTACCGATAATTAAAGGAGGAAGGATAAAGAAATTTAACAAATAAATTCTTGAGGAAGGATAAAGAAATTTAACAAATAAATTCTTGATGAGTAAACTGACCATTTTTGCCTCATTAGTAAACTGACCATTTTTGCCTCATTGGTTTGTTAATTCATAATGAGAAAGAGATTAAAGAAGATGCTTGTGCATATAATTCAAGTGAACTTGATGAGCCAGAGAAGTGGATCTAGAGTGTTGTATTATTGGCAAGCAGCATTCACATCGAAAAGTAAATTTTAAAAGAGAGCTAAAGACCAGCAATGTTATGTGCAGAGAGCTAAAAGGGATGCTGGAACAGAATTTATGTACCCATAACCCCATATAGTTGGGACAGTCAAGGTTCAAATTTCACCTTTACCACCCAATATGCATATTCGTGCGTATCAATATTTTGAACCTTAGGGACAATGTTATTAAATTCTGAGTTGAGAGATCAAGCAGTGTGTCCATAAATTGAGTGCAGGGGAAATGAGTGTTGAGAGAGGGATGAGTGGCAAGAAAATAAATGAAAGAACTGGATATCAGTGCAATCACTAGAACCTAGTAGCCCAATAAGTGACAAAAGGAGGGGAAGATCACCTACTAAACCTAAAAGAAAAACACAGGAAGGTTGTAGAGCTATGGAAAAGTAGAAAAGAAAGAGATCAGCTAATTCAGGTGGCTGGTGTGGGGGATGGAAATCAGGATGGGTTGGGTTAAGAGATCAGCTAATTCTTTAGCTGATGGGTTAGCTAAACAAGGGATAGAAAGGGAAGCAATGTTTTGGGCTAAGTTGTAACTTACTGTAGCAATGAGACATCTTTACAGTCAAGTAATTACCAAAAATAAAGAACTCAACAACCAGTCATTTTTTAAATACTAGAATAAGAAACATATTAATATCAACTTGTTCTAAAGTTGAATTCAACATGTTGTTGAACTTTATTGGCAAAAGAATATGCAGTGAAAAATAAAGGTATACCACTCCCAAACCAAGCAGCGTGTAAGTTGCCAAGCCAAATCCAACCAGTGCATCTTTGCCAAAAGCACCCTAAGAAAACAAATTGAATGTTAGAAAAGTAACATAATCTTAATAAATAGGAAGACATTTAGTTCTTAAATAACACACAGATCTCCACTATTATCCAAAAATAATTTATCATGAAGTTGATGGCAGTTCTAGTAATCTTTCTTGATAACTCAGTTGATTAAGGGAAAATTTTATCTTCCAGGAACAGTACATGCACCTTGTATGCATAGAGCTCAAGGTGTTTGTACAGATACATAGGGTATCCTTGGGATTCACAGAGACAGTTACCAGCATTGGCAGTTACAAGAGAGAGAGGATGTGGCATTTAGAAATGTTGATCATGGTAATAGTTAAATGTCTTGTCAACATTTTACAATAAAATTTTTCAAAAACCACCAAGACATTTAAACATCCTTTCATATTTTTACCTTTTGTAAGCTTAAATCACGTGTTTAAAATCTAAATGCATATATTTAAATATAATATTTCAAATCTGAAATCCAAACGCATTTAATCATAGGCCCGGAAGGCTGGAACTAGGCCTGGCTCAGCCAAGCCCAGGCTTATATTTCAGGCCTAGGGTCTAGGGTAAAACCCAGCTAAGCCTGGCCCATGATCACCCCTACTTGGAAGGAGAAGGAGAGGTGAGCATCTCATGAGAAGAGTATGATAAACAGTTGACTTGGATCATTAATTTTGGAGCTTTCAATCATATGACTGGGTCACCAAGTGTGTTGCCCCTATCTTAGTCCTCTTCTTCACAGTTTGTTAATTAGCCAATGGTGCTACATCTTCAGTTTGTGGTCTGGATTATGTCTCTTCATCATTCATTATCTCTAACCTTCCTTCAATTTCATGTTTGTTAGCAAGTAAACTAAATCCCTTAACCATTCTATTACATTCTTCCCTCCAATTCTATGTTTTTCAGGATCTAATGATAGGAAAGAAGATCGGTGGTGGGCATGAAGATGGAGGGTTGTATTACCTTAACATTGGAGGTGGATCAAAAGTAGCTCTATAATCATCCCTTACTCCATCTTAGTGGCATTTATGTCTTGGTCATCTATCACTCCAAAAGCTGAAGTCATTGATAACTACTTTGAGTCATGTGTCATATTTGGATTGTCAATCTTGTTAGTTGAGTAAGATCCATAGAGTCTTTTTTAGTTTAAGAGTTGAAAGTAAAGTATCTAGTTCCTTTCTTCTTCTTCATTTTAACATTTGAAGTCCCATTAAAGCCAAGCCATATAATGGCTACAGGTATTTTATAATCTTTATGGATGATTATTCAAGGATGACTTGGATGTTGTAACTATGCTTCAGATGAATGAAATAGTAAAAATTCATCAAAAAATATGATGAATGAAATAGTAAAAGAAAAAGTGAAATAGCTGCTGGTAGAAAGAAAACCCAGGCTCCTGTTCTGTTATGATTTATTATATCTTATTTCACACTAACCAGGCAGTGAGGTATAGACTTTGAGTTTGGAAACCTAGTTTCAGAGCCAGGAAGTGTGAAGTCCATATTCAATTATGCTACCTCTAGGCTAGCCAGGATACCATATATTTCTAGTTCAAAGATTAGAGAAGAAAGACGTATACCTGCACAGCTCTCCCACCATCTAGGCAGCCTACTGGAAGCATATTAAAAGCTGACGTGGTTAAACCACACCTGAAGAAAAAGCATAGATGGTAAGTGTTTCATGCATGGCATAAGCACCTAAAATATATAAAAAACATTCAAGAATAGCTACATCACCAGCCTGCAATCACAAGAGGGTGGATAGAAACAGTGGCAGCATGCATGGCACTGCACGTAGATATTAACAAAACATTAATAAAAAAAAAATGAATGGAAGATAAACAAAAAATATTAGTTGGTATAAGAATCAAATATTGTAATCAAGTGAACATTCAGGTATGCAGAAACTGAATGTTATTGCTGAGGCAGATACACAGAAACTATCATGTGGTTGAGGTCTCTACCAGAGGAGTTGGATATAGCTGCTCAAATTCCATTGTTGCTAGTTCATGATAACCACACTACTATTAATATTGCATACAATCCAGTACAACATGTCAGGACAAACACATAGAGGTTGGTCATCACTTCATTTATGAGTAAGTTGCCATGGTGATGTTTACAATCCATTTGCCACAACAGATGAACAGTTGGTAGATATATTCACTAAAGGAGTTCCTAAGGTTGCACTACAGTTCACTCTTAGCAGGCTAGGCATGATTGACATATATGATCAGCTTGAAGGGGAGTGTAGGAAAGAGTGGATTGTATCCTATTTAGTTTATGTTTCTGCTCATAGTACCATTGCTTATGTTTTTTATTTTATTTGACGCTAGTTATGTGCCTGTAGATAGTGGGCCGTGTGTCTTTCTTTATTTCTTATTGATCTTTACCAGTGCTGCTGCCCAGCACAAATGTAATTTTCTTCATTGTTATAGTAGTCATAAAAGATAACTTGGTCAAATCTTCAAGCTAATCCAATCTTCTCTAAGCTTGACAGGCTTTTAGTTTCTCTAGATTGGGAAGAGCATTTGACAGATTTGTTGGGAAGAACATTGCCTAGAGTCACCTCGGATCATTCGCCAATTTGCCTGTTCCAAAAGAGATTTGATGGTGGCCCATCCCCTTTTAGGTTTGAAAACATGTGGCTTACCCATCCAGAGTTCAAAGCCAAAGTTAAGGACTGGTGAGATACTCCGGCTCAACCACCTATTTGGGAAGGCTAAAAGTTCTTAAAGAAATTGCAGCTGATCAAAGAAAGAATAAAATAGTGGAATAAATTGACCTTTGGGAGACTATAGAAAAAGAAAACAAGTCTGATTTCCAGATTGAGGAGATTGATAAAAAGGAAATGGAGGACCCCTATCAGATAGTGATAGAGATTTACAGTGGTCTATGAAGGAACCTAGAAGGAACTGAGGTTACTCTTCTCAAAGAGGAAATTTATTGGAAACAGAAATTCAGGGAAGGCAATGGTAATACGAGATTCTTCCATGCCATTGCAAGCAACAGAAGGAGAAAGTGCCTAATTACTTCCTTAAGCTTGGGAGAGACTGAGGTTACTAATCACAATGAAATAGACAAGACCTTTGCATATCACTTTAGGTCAATCTTTCATAGACCACTTAATGAGAGTTGGTCAATTGAAGATCTTGATTGGGAGACTTTGGGAAATGATCAAGTAGAGATCCTGGAGAAAAGGTTTCAAGAGGAGGAAATTAAGGAAGCAATTTTTTCAATGGACAGATCTAAAGCAACAGGGCTAGATGGCTTTACAATGGCTTTCTACCAGGATTGTTGGGAGATAATTAGAAATGATTTGGTTAGAGTCTTCAAGAAATTCCATATGAGGGGCAAAAGTAGCTTGGTAATGAACTCAACTTTTATAGTTTTGATCCCCAAGAAAGTTGGCGCTGCCCATCCCAATGATTTCCATCCTATCAGTCTGGTTATGAGCATTTATAAGATAATTGCTAAAGTTCTATCCCTTAGAGTCAAGAAGGTTCTTCCCTCACTTATATCTCAATTGCAAAGGGCTTTTGTTCAAGATAGGCAAATTGTAGACTAGATCCTAATTTCCAAAGAGTGTGTCAAAGCCCAAAAGAAGAGATTAAGGAAGAAAGGAGTTGTGGTGAAGCTAAATATGGAGAAAACTTGTGATCTTGTGGACCAGGAGTTTTTTAATTAAGATCATGAGAAGCTGTGGGTTTGGAAAGCTTTGGTGCAAATGGATCAGAGGGTGCTTGCAGTCTACTCATTATTCAATTCCTGTCAATGGGTTGGTAGTGGATTTCTAAAGGAACTAGAGGCCTCAGACAATGCGATCCATTGTCTCCCTTCCTATTTACCCTAGTAGCTGAGGTGTTTAGCAAGCTGATTTTAAGAGCAATATGCAGCTGATTAAGGGCTGGTCAGTTGGAAGGGGTAGAATTCAGGTAACTCACCTACAATTTGCAGATGATATTCTAGTTTTATGTGAGGGGGACAATAGATCTGGAGTGGAAAACTTGAAGCTGGTAGTTAATCTTTTTGAGAGGGTTTCATTAGGAACCTAAAAGAGTCTGAATTTCCCCTTGTTTCTGCTTTGCTCTCCTTGTTGAATTTTGTGGTTCTTGGAGATGGGGTAACTCAACTGGGACTTTCACCTGTAAATCTTTTTCTCAATTCTCTTGTAACTTCCTCTCCCTCTCCTTCCCCTTCTTTCCCAGTAAAGGAAACCTAGTGTCCTCCCATTCCCCCTACAGTTAGTGCCTCCTGTTGGGAAGTGTTTCATGGTTGCATTAATACTTGTGACAAGCTTCAAAGAAAAACGCCAAACTGGTGCTTGTCCCCCAACTGGTGCAGCTTGTGCAAGGTTAATGGTGAGACTGCTTTTCATCTTTTAATCTCCTGTTCCTTTGTTGCTTTATCTGAGAGTGGTTTGCCTCACTTTTTGGTTGTAGGTGGCTCTCTCCTGTTAGCTTGGGAGGGTTGTTTAACCTTTCTGTTTGCAAGTGCGCTACTAAAAGAGGTAGACTGATGTGGAAATATACAAAGGCAGCAGTTGTTTGGACAGTTTGGGAGGAAAGAAACTCTAGAATTTTGGGGGAAATGGAGAGAACTAAGGAAGCATTGATTGAGACCATAACCCTCTGAGTGGCTCATTTGGTTAAGACATTGAGCTTGTTCTCGGATTTCCAGATTGATGGTTTCTTCAGAACTTGGGGGACTATAGCTGCTTCAGCTTCTAGAAGACATGTTGAAACAGTGTTCTGGTCTCCCCCACATCGTGGCTGGTTGAAACTGAATTCTGATGGGAGCAGTGTGGGCAATCCAGGCCCTGCTGGAATTGGAGGAGTTATCAGGGATGGAGAAGGTTGTATGTACCTTATTCTAAGGTTCATCTGGGCAAAGTAATGTTGCATCAACAGAATTCTTAGCTGCTGTATTTGGGCTTGGAAAGCTGAGGAATTGAGCCTAGAAAGGTTAATTATTAAAGGTGATTCCAAAACAATTTTGGACTGGTTAAGGAAAGAGGAAGGAGTCTCTTGGCACCTAAGGAATGGCCTTAAGAGGTTCAAAAGGCTCTCCAGGGATATGTTGATTCAAATTAATTGCGTTAGAAGATCGGCCACCAGTTTGGCAGATAGTTTAGCCAAACAAGGGGTACAAAGATGGTCTATGTTTTTAGGCCTATATGTAATATTTGGGGCTTTGGACATCTGGTGTCCTTTTTGTATCCTTCACAACTTCTGGTTGTACTGCTTTATTTAATTTTAATGAAATCAGTTCTCTGAGTTATTGATCAAGAAAAATAATAATAAAAGATAACAGGGTCTTATGCCCCATGATCTGTTTCTCACCTGAAAAGAAATCTTTCTTATAGTTTTTTTTTTATTGGCAAAAGGATTCCATTAATAAACTAAAAAAAGGTTAATACAACCACTGGAGACTTCCAACACACCCTAGTCAAACAAGTTTACAATTTTGCCCAAAATAAGTTTGGTCTGTCAACTCCCTGTTGGGCTAGAATATCTGCCACCCCATTTGCAGTTCTCCTCACCCAGCTGAAACTAAAATTTGTTTTGCTATGACATCAATTTCCCTAAAAGCATGCTTATATTTCCAAGGTGCTGATTTGACTTTCTTTGTCCAATGAATGACTAGCTGTGAGTATCCTTCAATTTCCACATCTCTGAGACCAAGCTGCAGTGCTAGTCTCATTCCTTGTAAGAGTGCCATGATTTCAACCTTGACCAAGTCTCCTAAACCAACTGGACCTGAATACATCACTACCACCACTCGCTAGTGATTTCTAATCACTCCCCGAATGCCTGCTCTTCCCAGATTGGGAAATCTTTCTTATAGATTAATCAAGTTTATTAATTGGAGTAATAGCATATAAGGGCAACTTTTGGGGTTTAATATCAATAAAAAGTAATATATTTAAAAAAATTTCAAAAATAGGTTAACTTTTTAAAAATAATATCAATAAAGGGCAAAATCATTGTTTATTTTCTTCTTCTTGCCATTTGTTCACCAGAGCCGCCACCCACCGCCATCCGCTGCTGCCCACCGCCGCTGCCACCTCTGTCTCCACCCATCTCCGGCAACGTTGCCGGAGGTGGAGGCGGGCAGCGGCTCTGGTGAACAAATGGCAAGAAGAAGAAAATGAACAATGTTTTTGCCCTTTATTGATATTATTTTTAAAAAGTTAACCTATTTTTGAAATTTTTTTAAATATATTACTCTTATTGATATTAAACCCCAAAAGTTGCCCTTATATGCTAGAAACCCTTATTAATTTGCAAGGTGTCAATCAGCTGATTGGTAAGATCTCCTCCTGATAATAGCAGAGACTTGGGATCAAATCCCGCCTGCACCTGGGTTGGGGGCTATGGGCTACCCCCCGTTGTGTAGCCCTTCAGAAGATATTAAAAAAAAAAAAAAAAAATCAAGTTTATTAATTTTGAAATCTGATGGACCAATCGACAACTCTGTTTAAAAAATTCAGATTAACTAACAAATCTATATCTATAGTATATTAAAAGTACAAATTAGGGAGTGGAACTTTTGTTTGACTAAAATACCCCTATTTTGAATTTGATCCCTCTCTAATTGTGAGGGCAGAAAATGTAATTTGAACTACTACCTTTTTTATGAGTAATTTGAACTACTACTTTTCACCTTATTTAATTCCCTCTCATTAGCTATTATATTTAAGGTATTAACTCCCATCAGTTTTAATTGAACCTTATTCTTGACTAAAATGCCCTTATCTTTTAACTTGGTCCCTCCCTAACTGTGCGGGTAGAAAATGTAATTTGAACTACTTTTTACCTCATCAATTCCCTCTCACTAAGTTTTATATTTAAGGTATTAATTTCCATTCTCTCTCATTAAATCCTATATTTAGGCTATTTTTCTCACTAATAAATTCTATCATTTTTTTGTTTGCTTTAAATAAATTCTGTCAATTAGATATAATTCCAATACTTTTAGCCATATAAAATCCATGTTTAAAAACCAACCCAAAAGCGAAGTTGTTCTCACGTTCGGTGATAGGTCAATAGTTCCACATTTTAAGTCAAATATGTTAACCTTTGATGCCATAATTAAATTATAAAAATTAAAAAAAAAAAGATAAAACACAAAAAAGTTAAAAAATGAACAAAATCTGTAAAAATCAGTTGGGCACATCTCTAATATCATATATTTATCAAATTAAACAAAAATAAGTGTGATAAATAAGAATTATTGTTGTACACATTAATTTAAAAGAAATTATTGAAAATTTTGGAAACATATTATTACTATCATTGTTGTCGTCATCTAAAATTTCCACGTGTGAAGCATATGGACATTTACTAGTTTAACAAGAAAATTATACAAACCCAGACAGCAACGATGAAAAACCTCAAACAGAACTGATGACAGGAAAGACAAGACATACGCATAACCAAGAGTTGCTCTGCTGATGAGCCCAAGAAGCAAAGAACCCTGGAATAGCATGCAAGGCACCTGCACCAAATCTCCTGCAGCATCTGGGTTTGATGAGAGCAGCAGGCCAACACAAAACATTGAAAAAGAAAGTGCAGCACCGGCAAAGGGACCCGCAATTGAGACATCAACTTTTGTCCTTCGATCAGGAAGAATAGATTTGAACTACAAGAATTGATAGGAAGAAAATGAGCAATATGGCATAAGATCAAAGCCCTCATCCCACCCCTTCCACCATTTGTCACATACATAAATAGTTCGGACTTAGACTGACAATGTTATTATTCAACAACTAAGTATCAAAACAATGGAAAGAAAATAACAAGGAAAGCAAAATGAAAAAAAAAAAATCAACTGCATATAATTAATTTCCAAACTTTCCTACCAAAAATATTTTCACTTGATTCATCAGCTACAGATTTGCACAGAATATTTCCCAAATCCAAAATCAATTATAATTAAACTCTATCAAATACCATCTATATATTCAGGTAGGTTGCAAAAGATTGCTCACCTGAGTTATTGCACCAAAGCTGCCAAGTGTAATGTTAGGAATAAAGTAAGGAATGCCCAGTTTTACTTTCTTTGGAAATGCAGCCAGGAAATGCCCAACCTCCTGTTTGTCGAAAATAGAGAATAAGAGAAAAACAAAGTAATCTATGTACAAATACGAAATATATACAAAGAGTATTAAGAAGAACAAAGATTATCTGACAAGTAAAAGAACAAATACAAACCATGAAATTATCAGGAAAATTCATTATTCCAAACTAAAATATATAGGATTTGATATAATGACATATAGATGTAGTAATGGTTATAGAGCAAATATCTAATAAAGATTATTTTATCAGTATCATTAAAGGTTGCACAAAACATAAAGGTGACCAGGACGTGCAAAAGGGACATCTAGAACTTGAACTGGAGCAAGGCAGATGCCAGCTAAGAAGCTTTGACCTGATTGCAAATAGACATGGTCAAGTTGCAAGTAGGTTGATGCCATTGCCGGTCTTAGGGTGAAATTTTGGGAAAACCAGTGGTAAGGAGACTTACCTCTATGTCAATTTATTTCTAATATAATTACATTTTCCATGGCTAGTCTCACTTGGGACTTTGGTTTTTGGATGGGCTTGAGATATTACAGCAGTTAGGTGGTTAGACCTCTGGGTGTTATAAAGAATGTTTTTCTTGTACAAAATGGGGTTGATAAAAGAATCTGGCATCTGTTAGGGTCCCTCTCTTGTTACTTCCTTTTCAAATCCTTATATATCATCCCTCCATCCCCTCAACTGTTTCTAGTTTCTCTTTAGAATGGTCTCTCTCCCTTCATATGTGCATTCTATAATTGAAGAGTGGAGAGAATGTCATGACTTATTCCTCTCTCCTTTTACTTTCAATTCACAGGTAAAGAATCACATTTTTCTTCTGTTTGGTTGTTCTTGGTCTCTACCGTTGGATATATTAGGGTATTAGACTCATTCTCACCTCAATCACTTCCTTTACACAGAAAGGGGAAAATCTCGTGACATTACACCAAGGAAACAGCACTATGGAGTAATTTGGACTAAAAGAAACGCAAGAATATTTGAGAAAAAGTACAAAATTTACATATTGTTGGAATTCCTTTTATTCTTTGTATATGGTCAGCAGGGTTATATTTGTCCTTATCCTATTTATTTCTTTTATTTTCTTAAATACGGCCAAAGTTGTAATTTAGCATTCTATTATTAAGTTAATAAAAGAAGGGTGGCAGTTGAGGAGAGTTTCAGTTCAATCTCCCCTGCTCTCAGCTTTACTACCAGAAGACAACAGATTGTTGCTGATTGGATGGCTCCAGAGGCAGGAAGGATAAAGTTAAACTTTAATGGCTGATGCTCATGCAATCCTGAACCCTTAGACCATGTAGGAAATGTTTTGCTCAGTTTTTCAAGCCCAGCAGGTGATGGCATATCCCACAAAGGAGGGGGATCTCTAAGCCTATGATAAACTTTATTATAAATGCATAGTCAGCAAAAACTATCTTCTGAATTCCATTTTTCTAGCATTCCTGGAGTTTATCAAACTTATATATCAATGAAGCTATAATTTACTGCTGCAAATAAAATGCTCAAGTTCTAAAGTACCACATGAAAAGAGCAGTAAAAATGACAAGGTGTGTGAGATAAGTACAAAAGCACAGTAGATCAAAGAGAAAAAGGATTCCCAATCTATTAATCAAGGGAATATGCTCTTTTTAGGAAATGGAAAAGACCTAGATATGGTCCCTAAACTGAAATACCAGCTGATAAAAACAAGTAAACTGATTAAGGTATTAACATGGGAATTGCACATATCAAACAAGGACTGATGTAGCCGACCCCGTATAGTTGGGATAAGGCTTGGATGATGATAATGACTGTGCATATCAACAAGGGAAAACACATAGCATTCAACCAATTGAATGTAGGGAAAATCTATGTGGACTGCAGAACTGTATTCCATCTCACTATCTCACTATATCTTTTTTGCGAGATAAAAGACTCATCTTGTATACACCATAAAAATAATGTTCTTGAGACTGATTTCAGCTCTCCCTCTATCTGGCATCAGTGTGCTTAATTTTGGATGTTCTAGGTCACTTTAGATGTATGGAAGAAAATGATGGTGATATCTGATACCTGCCCTTTTATGATTATCTGCTATCCACCATACTTGTTTTTATATGAATTTCTTAAGTCTCATCTTCTATAGATATTTTTGCTATTTCATGTAAAAAGAGCTTCCACCTATAGCAGTCTTCATAAGAAGGACCCCAGATTGAATTGACAGACATAACAGTGCTTGTAAAATTTGCGACAAGAAATAACATGTATTGATTTGGGCACATGAAGAAATGATGTGGCCAGTTTAAACCACAAATCAGATAGCAACCATATGGATTGGAAAATTAACCATGTTTTCAGTCCCACAGTCTACTTAAGAGCTCCACCTCAATAATGTACCGGGCATTTTCCCAAGTGATTATAGACATTGAAAGTTTTAAATTTTTGTTATTTTATCACTAAACTTTCAATTCTTTAATATTTTTTTTTAAAAGGTAAGGTTATTTATTAAAACAAGAACCAGTACAAAGGAGCCTAGGCCATTAGAGGCTGCCTAGAGACACCACAAATTACAGATACATCATCCAGTTCTGAGATCTAAACAACAGACTCAAATTCTGATTTTTAAGCACCTCCGTTGCCGACACCCAGGACAGAAGTTTACCCACAGCTTTCTGCACCAATTCCTCTGAAGATTTAGCTTTGCCCTGAAAAATTCTGTTATTTCTTTCAATCCAGATAGTCCAAAGCACAGCAGCTGGGATAGTCTTCCAAACCAAGATTCCTTTCTTGCTGAGACCCTCAATCTGCCAACACAACAGCAGATCCTTCACAGAANTTCCTCTGAAGATTTAGCTTTGCCCTGAAAAATTCTGTTATTTCTTTCAATCCAGATAGTCCAAAGCACAGCGGCCAGGATAGTCTTCCAAACCAAGATACCTTTCTTGCTGAGACCCTCGATCTGCCAACACAACAGCAGATCCTTCACAGAATTTGGCATTACCCAGCTGATTTCCATAGCTTGAAGAAAATGCCTCCAAATATATTTCTTTCAATTCTTTAATATTAAAGATGCACAGAAAATCTTTTGTTCTGAAACAGGCTGTTGTGCTGAAACTTGCCCCATGACCAGAGGATGATATGGGCTACATATGGACCTGTTTGAAACTGCTACCAGAGTTGCTATGCCAAAGATTCTAGGCTTGTCTATATCTCTTTGATTATGTTTGCAGATATCAGTGTTATAAATAATAATGCAACAGTACCTCGCTATTTCCATTTCCTTGTTTATTTGGCATTCTTTTATTCACTGGTCAATAGTTAACGATGTAGAATGTACATTTGAGAAGTGGCACTTTAGTCTTTTATTTGCACCCTTGCTGATCTCTAGTCCTATGAGCAATATTATGATAAAGTGAAAGTTCTGTTTTATCATTTGACAAGTGAAACTAAATTGAGGTTTAGTGGCAAAAAGCTCTTCAAAAAAGGAAAAGATTACTTCACTTTGGTCACAACCTGAAGAAGATTTTATTAAATTTAGCTTTGATGGGAGTAGCCAGGGCAACCCAGGTCAATCAGGTGTAGGGGGTGCTTTCCAGAAATAAAGGAAGTATTGTTGCACTGTTCTCAGGACCAGGTGGTGTGGGGGACTCAGTTAGAGGAGAATTTCTCCAAGTAATTCAAGTGGTACAGTTAGCAAGATAGATGATGAAATCAAAAGGTTTAAATGGCTTACAAGCAATATGACTTCAAGAATTCGATGGGAAAGAAGATCAGCTAATGGGTGGCAGATAATTAAACTAAGCAAGGGCTTAAAAAGGTTCATTTGTTCTGGGTTCATTTGTAATTTGACTTTTTTTCTCTGTGAGAAGCTGCATCTCACACCTCTCCTTGGGCCTCTTGTAATGATTGTGGGATTATAAATTTCAATAAAGTTTCTTTGTTTACTTATCAAAAAAACTACTAAATATAGCTGCATGGGCATCACCTAGATGACTATGCACAAAGGGGACCCATATCTACTGGTTGTGTATTGAACTCTTTCACCATAACCCATAGAGATTACCTGTGCAAAATAGTATAAACAAGGACCCAACTAACAAAAAGCAAATGGTGCAGGAGAACCTTCAGGGTTTTCCATATAAAATATGTGACAGCAATCCTTTTACAGTTTAACAAAGGTAAGGAAAAAAAGTAAGCAAGTCTAGGATGTCATTCATTTCAGACAATCAGATATTGTTATAATGCAATTGACCTTCACATAAGCAATGTCAATAGTTAATGCAATATAAACGAAATCCAAAATTTAGCATCAAGAGAAACATACAATACACTGCTCTATCCCACCTTAAAAGCTTAAAAGGTTAATAATGCTCATCGTCCTCAAATAAATTTGGAACAATTAAATCAAGTTCAAAACTTAGAAATCAATGTGTATTTAATAGGAATGCATCTGCTAGTTGAGTCATTTAATGAAGTCAGAAAAACAGATAAATCTTCCATGTGAATTGGTTTGGGGCTCAAAAAAGCCCCACAGGTTTCTCTTGCAATTCTCAACTAGTAGGGAAAATCTGAGACCAAAAATCCTTGCCATGTGAATAAAATAATCCCTGCTCTTGAGATAAGCTTAACATCAATATACCAAAGCTTCCAACAGCCATATACTCATAGAAAGGTCAATCCAGAGGAGTGGATAACTCAGATTAGCCACCTGATGAATAATAAACTTTGTTACCTTAAACTACCCTGTTAATACTGAAAGCAAAAGTGGAATATTTTCATACATGGCAAAGCAGTGACACCCTGATCCAAAATATATCATCATCATCATCTAAGCCTTGTACCAACTATATGGGTTCGGATATATATATATTCAATTAAAAACAACGGAAAAAAGACTCACATGAAATAGCTGAACCCCTAAGACGCCGTATGCTAGTGGCAGAGCAGAATCCACAAATGGGAATAACAGCTGCATATCAGGTGGATCAATGGCATTTGGATCTGTAAAGTACTTCACTACCTCTGGAGGAAGTCTATTTATCTGCTCCAAAGGAAAACAAAGTAGGCATTTTTCAAGTACAGTTAATAAGCCTAAGCTTGGTTTTCAACATAAATGAGACAGCAGGGAGAAAAGTCAAAAAATCTGGAGAGTAATCATTTCATAAAAAGTATATTGACTCACCTGAGATGCAATTCCTAGCTCCACACAGGAGCCAATTGTAAGAACAAATAGCAATAGAGCAATTACATATTGCCAAAGTGTAGTAGGCCCTGGTTCTGAAACTTCTTTCCGCAGCAAACCAAAGCTCACTCGTGGCCCACCACGGGGGTCCATTCCTTCTGAATTGGGTTCCTCCACCATAAATAGGTTATACTTGTTGCCACTGACTTCAGCAAGTTGACGCTGGAGTTTTGCAAACACCTCCTCCCGCTTACCCCTTAAATTTCCAAAGAAAAGTATGCCCTCACCAAAGTCTCCAAATGGCTCTTCTCTGGTCACCCAGAAAGTAGAATAGCCAAAAAGCTTTTCCTTAATCAGTTTTACATCATTAGGATCGACTTTCTCTGGTCCAAGAAGTTCCATCAGTTTAAAAGAATCAACTTGGAAACTATTATAAGCGGGTCCCATAGGAGAAATATCTGGTGGCTGAAAAGTAGAAAACCCACAGCTAGAATCAGTACCATCTCCACATCATTTTCCACAGTTGTCATTCAATATATAGAACAACTTATATTCCTGATTTTCAACATTTTTTCTGTTCTTTTGTTCTTTCTTAATTCTGCCCCTCGCTTAAACACATAAACTATGTAAAGTGCATTTACAAGTGAAATTATTGAACTTCGGAAGGGGGAGGGGGGGGGAGAGTTAGAAGTTGTACTAAGATAATAGCAGATCCTAGAGACAAAAGCATGGTAATTGAGAGATTGCGGGCTGTTCAATGAGGTATCTAACTAATTCACTTCTAACCTAATCAAAATCCAATATAATTCCAAGAATAAGTTAAAAAGATAAATGAACCTCATTACTACTGAAAAATACTAAAATTAGAAACCAGAAAAAAAATAATAAATAAATGGAGGGAATGGGAAGTACCCTGGAAGAGATAGATGTGGGAGTCTGGTCCGACTTGAGTTCATCGACGTTCCTCTCTTCCGCCTCTTCGGTCGTAGCCGTCAAGTTTGAACTTTTCGACACGTTATCCTCTTCTTCATTCCCATTGCTACTAAAACACCTAAAATTATCAAAGCGTCTCCTGAAAACCTCCTTATACAATCTTTGTTTACACAAGAAACACGGATGCTTTGAATTTTTATTCTCAAACATTCGACTTCTTCCACTGTAAGCTCTTCCGGTCGGACATAATCGGAATCTGAGGTTCAGAGGAGTGAAATAATAACTCGTCAGAGTTCCCATTTTCAAGTAAACCTCGGTAGAAACTTTGCAACTTAGGACTCAATGGAACGACAGTTTCATTTTGCAGATCGAATTCGAACAGAAACACTGTGTTTAGTCAGATTGAACTTGAAATAGAAACCGAAATCCTACGATGAGAAAACCAATCCGAATTCAATCTCGACCGGGAGAAAGCAAATGCACAGAGATTTGTAAGGGTCCGTGATGAAGAGAGAGAGAGAGAGAGAGCTCCTCGACCCGTTTTTCGTTTGGCTGTGGCAGAGCGTATATCTTCTTTGCTGACCAGATTTTAATAAAATATCTTTTCCATTTTTTTATAATTTATAAAAAAAAACGGAAAAAAAATTTATCACTATTAAAACTAGTTTGGTCCCGTGCGATTCACGGACTTTGTTAACTGCAAATAAAAATCAAACATAGCTGTAGAAAGGATTAGCTGAACATGATCGCTGTTGAACAAGCTGTAGAACCAGTGATAATGTTCCACCGTGGAGCTTATAAGAATGCATTACTAACGTCAAAATTTTATTATTGGTTTAATAGCCAGTCGAAAGCCATCGTGTTCCACTAATCAACGGCCCAAGAAAATTTCCGATTAATACTGTGTAAATTTTAAAATACGATAATTCAGTATCCGAATATTTAAAATGTACCAATTTAGTACCTAAATGACATTTGAAAAGACATAAAAACTCTTTGAGTGTAATTTAATTTTCTTTATTAACAATTTAAACATTGACAAAAAATGAACAGTCACAAATCCTTTTCTCTTCTATTCAAGAAAGTTGGGGGTCTCATCTTAATGGGCATTCTCGTGATCACAACTTTATTGAATAGAAAAGGCAAGTATTTGGATTGTTCATTTTCTATCAATGTTTGAATGATTAATAAATAAAAAATTAGATGATACTCGAAGGGCATTTGTGTCTTTTCAAATGCTATTTGACGATTGGAGCAACTGATTAACAATAGGTACTAAATCGACACGTTTTGAAAGTTCAAATACTGAATAGTCGCATTTTAAAGTTCGGGGACCAAATCAACACTAGCCCAAAATACAAAGTACTAATTGAGAATTTCCCCTTATAATTATTAATTGATAATTTGAAAGATGCCTTTTTTTTGTTGAAGTTAATTTTATTAACTAATAATATTACAAAAATATTGCAACTTGTTCCCCGAACCCATAACGCCCACACACTAGTGCAAGCTAAATTCCATCTTGTCTCTCCTACAACTAGCAGGACTTAGGATCTTAAAAATTCAAAAAAAAAAACCCTTGAATATCTTAAAAAGCTGTTTTACAAATATTGATTTGAATAAATAACTTTTCAAAAATTTATGAATAAATTTCTAAATTACTATGAATAAATCTTTTAAAATTTATTGATATGAATAAATTAATTTTCAAAAATATGAGTTTATGAATAATTAAATACTAAAAATATTAAAAAATCAGTAATTATAGAACTTTTTAAAGTTGACTTTCACTAAATTAAATTGCCAAAAAACAATGTAAATTACCAATAATTATGAAAATTAGAGATAATTACCAAATATAAATTATCAATATTAAAAATCCCCAATAATTTTCTAATTAAATAATTACCAGAAACCAATGTAAATTACCAATAATTAATTATGGAAATTATTAAAATTTTAAACCTAATAATCTCCAAAAAAATATTTAATTTTCCAACTACTTATGGAAGTTATAAATATAATTAAAATTCCCTAACAACTTCCAAATTAAATTTTTAACAATTTCCAAATTAAATTTTTAAAAATTTCCAAAAGCCAATGTCAATAATCTTTATTACCAAAAATAATTTTCAAAATCAAACATTTTCTCAAATTACATGAAAATTAATAAAAATGCTGAAAATTAATTTTCTCAAATTTAAAAATAAATAATTACCTAAAAATTACTAAAATTGTTAGGTAATAATTATCAATTTCACATCATAATATATAATCGATTTCATATGACAATAAATTAATACTAAATATTAAAATTTGATTGTTCAATAATTATTGACGTTAATGAATTAAATTTCAAATACTATGAATAATTAATTACTAAAAATATGTAAATAATTTGATATTTTAATTATCTTATATGCTTGATATTTAGAAAGTTTCAGCCTTTGTTACTGTGGTAAAATAGGAGGCAAAGTGACATGGCCAAAGGCTAAGAACCCAATGATGTGGCAAAATGAAGGGCCTAAATAAAGTAAAGCCAAACTCATACTGACCCGACTTATTGTGTTTATTTTTCATTATTTTAAAATTAAATTTAAATTGAGTTTAAATTAATATTTTTTACTTTTATTAAAATTTAATTTATTTACTAAATTATTGTTATTGGTGTGTAATTTAAGTTTTGATATTATGCTAAGGTTATTATTGTTTAAAATATATAATAATTTTAGAATTTGTTATTATAAATTAAGTATAGTATTATTGTAATTAATTATAATAATTATTATTGCTAAAATTAAAACAATAATTTATTTTTAATTTCATATTATAATAATCGTTTTTAGGTTGAATTAAATTTTATTACTTTATAATTATAAAATTATTATAATTAACTATTGGATTTTATAATGACAATGTAAAAATAAAATTTTTAATTGATTATTAAATTTTATTATTTGTCTTAATGTATTATTTATTTTTTCTCTTATTAGTATTTTAGATAATTTTTATTCATATTATTTCAATGTTGGAGTTTTAGCTTAAAATGTTTTTTAAAAAATTATTTTAACTTAAACTTTAATATTTTAATACATTTATGAAAAATTAAATGCATGTATTTAAAAGGTTGAGAGAGATAGAGAAAGAAATAGATAGTAAGATAGATACGGTGGGAAAAAGGGGTTAGAATAAGATGGTTTGTTGTAAGATAGAAGGGAGATGTTTTAGGAGGAAATTTTAGGTGGGGGTAGTCTAGAAGAAATTTTAGGAGAAAAGATGTTTTAGGTGATTCAGAAGGGGTGTGTGTGTAGTTGAGAGAGAGAGAAATTTTAGGAAGAAAGAGTCTCTAATTGGTCATTTCAAAAATGTCATGGATTAAAAATAAAAAATTCCAAAAAGATTAAAATAAAAAATAGGCTTCCTTGTTTTAGTATATACTAGAGGGACCTATGTGCTACAAGGCTTTCTTAAAAGAATTTTAGGCAAAATGAGATGGGGGTACAGCTTGGGTGGACCAAACCTAAGCTCAACCAAAACGTTTGTACAAGTTTGGCTTCAGTTTTCAAACTTCATGTTGGACGGCCCAAAAACTCACTTCTAATCTAAACTTAGGTTGGGCTTAGGTTGTGAGGCCTAGGGTAACCCGAGCCCAACCCAACAAATTTGAGCTTGCCCAACATTTTATGTTATACATATCTATATATTATCAATATATTCTACCTAGAAATTGGGCTATAACGCTTAATATGTCAAAGCCAACGCAAGATGTTGGGTTAAGCTCAGGTTGGACCTAGGCTGGTAAGAGAAAAAATTATTGGTAATTTTCAATAATTATTGATAATTTACTACCAAATGACAAAAATAAAATGATGTTAATTACAGATAATTTTCTAACCAAAGCACAAGTTTACCAACCTAGGCCCAACTCGCAATTAAACCAACATCATGTTTTGAGCATTGGACTAGGTGTATTGAGCTTTGTATCCAACTTCCAAGCAAAGGCATAGGACTAGGTGTATTGAGCTTTGTACCCAATTTCCAAGCAAAATATAATGATAATAATCTGATATGTATATCATAAAATGTTTGGTGGGATCAAATATCATAGATATTTAATTGAAGTTTATGATTTTTAATTAATTAATTTTGGTATGATTTTTAATAATTATTTATTAATAAAATGAAAATTATTAATTATTAAAAACAGTATTATTTTTGGAATTTTTAATTAATCACGAAAATAATTAATTAATTTTTCTATGAGTTATAATAATTATTTATTAATTAAATGAAAATTATTAATTATTAAAAACAATAATGTTTTTTGGTAATTTGTAATTAATCGCAAATATAATTAATGAATTTAAGTCTGAGTCATAATTAAAAATTACTTTTCAATGAGATGAAATTTAATAATTATGAAAAATAGTAATACTTTATGGTAATTTGTAATCAAGTGTTTATGTAAGATTTATTATTACAAATTATTTATTTTTAAACTATAATATTCACTAATATTAATAAAGACAAAATTAAAATTATTAATTTTAAATAATCAGTAGTATATCACTTATTTATTAATCATAAATTGAAATCATTAATTATAAATAATAGGTAATATACCATCTAAGTCCAATGGGCTGGATTAATGGAAAACTAAACCATACCTGATCCATTAAACATGTCACTTTAGTTAAACGGATCGGGTATTGGATAAACCACTTAACTTGTCTCTTTCACCCAGCGTGAACACAACATATGCAAATTGATGTTGAAACAAATTTTTAAGATAGATTTAGTTTTTTTTATAGAAACAAAAGGTGCTATACAAGATGGGTACAAAGATCGAGAGAAATGACACCAGTAGACAAAGAATGAACCATATTCCCCAGCCAGTTTGCTGCTTAGTTTGACCCCGATACACGTACCTATAGCAAACTCTACCTTCCATCTTTTCCTTCATCTACTTGGTTAGAATCCTTCTCAATAGTGGTTGAAAACTTGTTGAAGTTCGTAGCCAAAGTATGAGCTTCCCACGCCACCCATGCCTCTACAACACTAATGAAAGAATAACCTAAGTTATAAGCTTTATAATCCAAAACCTTGCCCAAATAGTTTATTGCAATTGGAATAGTACAGGAACCATTTCTTGTGCAAGACGCACCGAAGTTAATTTTAACTTCACCCAAATTTGGGGGAACCCAGTAAACATTTTTTTTTTATTTTCTTAACATCTTATTGTTTGGTTCCCCATTAACCAACCAAAACTCATTAAGAGATTTAAAGGCCCTGTCGAGAATAATTTGAGAGGGGTTGTCGTTATTGTTGAAGACTTTTTATTCTTATTCTTCCAAATAAACCAAAGGATGAAGGCACATTTTTCTTTTAGATGAGTCTTCTCAATCACATCTTTATTATGGATTTTAGTCCACCACTCTTCCAAATTCAGACTAGCCTCATCTGAGCTAGCAACATTAATATTTGGCATTTCCCAAGTTTGTTTTGATATTGGGCAATCAAAGAAAATATGATGAATGTCTTTCGTGGAACCACACTAATTACAATCTCCATCAATGTTGAGACCTCCCCTTCTAAGAAAATCCTTTGTTGGAAGTCTGTTATAAAAGTTGGGGTGCAACACGAGGACTTCCTAGGAGGTCACCCATCAAGATTTAGTTAATACTCCTTTAGGATAAAAAAAAATGAAACAATGAAGTACATACAGGATGAAGAGGGTTGAGAAAACATAGGGGCGGAGCCCCTATCTTCACATGTAAAAATAAGAGGGTTGTCTCTCTTATTTCATGTCCATAAGAGAACGAAAATACATACCTAATGAAAACGATGTTGTTGAGCTAATCATTCTTTCAGACAAACAAACTACTAAGACTATTTTCCCTTCAAAACTGAAATGATGTTATGTTTAATACTTGAAAAAACATATGGACAGAGCCCTTGTTTTAATGTGTCTGGGCAATAGGCAATATGAGGTTGAAGACAAGGTTCAAAGTATTGGAAACATAAGGTGTATCGGAGAAACAATTTTAAGAGATGTTTCGGGATATGCTTTGGATACGCATGGATACACTATGAAGCTTATATAAATCTTAAAAACACATTAATAATAATAAATACAAGTCTTATATATGGCCTTAAATAAGTTATTTAAACACTTATCATAAAAAGATATTTAAACATACAAACCCATGCCCCAATAGTTTATATAAATTGTGAGATATAGGGACTAATTGGTAATTGTCAAAAATAATGTAAGAAGTAAAATGTGTATTAATTTTCAGAAAATCAATATAACTTCTATTAATATTTATTAGTATATAAATTTTAGTAATCAATTTTAACATTAACTAATGAACATTCACTAAGAAGAAGAAATTTGCTTGAGAATAAAAATACAATACAATTATGATCAACACTTGGAATATGGCTTAGAGGTTTGTTTATGGTTATTACTTATTACAATCAAATTTTTAAGGTTCAGTTCTCCTTGTGCGTGTCTTATTTGTAGTTTTAAATAGGTTGGTTTAATGACGAGTCAACTTCAAATTTATTGCTCTAATGGTGGGTTAAATTAAATTTTGAATTTGAATATTGTCTTAAATGTAGTAACTAATTAAGATAGAAATGGAGATATTAGGAGGGGCAATAATTGTAGGGGACTGGGAGTTATTTAAGGCAAGTTGCCTTAAATGTAAGAGTTATTAGAGATATTGGTCTATATTACAATATGTTTTGGCCATAAGTTCAAAATATTGGTCTATATTGGTCCTGTACACAGACCCAAACGACCCCATACGAGTCCGTATCGATCTAATACAAATGAAAAAGGAACAAAATTACTAGATTTGTAGCATTCCACGTATCGGGATTTCGCTCGCTAGAATGATACAGGCCGATACTTTGCGATTTTTTAAACATTGGTTGCAGATGGGCATCCAATGTGAGAGAAGAATGAATGGTTTATCCACCATTGTTTTGATGAGAAAATGTGAACTTGGGAATAGGAATGGCAACAAGGCAGGGTAGGACCGGGTTTTGCCCACATTGTCCCTAACCTCGATCTCAAATTCCCCACCCTGAACCCCGACGAGGCTAAAAATTCTAACCCCATCCCCTCTCCATGACGAATGGGGATCCCCGAATTTGTCCCACCTGCCTCGGTCATTCCTACTTGCATACTTACAAATTTATTTATTTATTTTTTGAAGTCTACCTAAAAGTATTCTACCTAAAAGTATGTATGTATGTATGTATGTATGTATGTATGTATGTATGTATGTATGTATGTATGTATGTATGTATGTATGTATGTAGGCAGGGTGGACAAATAACATCCCCGATCCCCAAAGTTTCGAGTTTCTTCGAACCTTAATCAGTGGTAAAAAAAGTGACCCTAACCAGGGTAGGGTGAGGCCCCACGGGGATGGGTCAAATTGCCATCATTGTTTGGGAGGAGTGCGATTGGGGAAGATTTTGGGTAAAAGAAGAAAAGAGAGAGAGAGAGAGAGAAGAGAGACATGTGACAAAGAATGGAGGTTTCCTTTGATGCATATGACTATTGCGAAAGGGAAGACCTAAATGACTGTGAATCTAAAATTTACCAAAAAATCATAGGTGATAAATGGAAATAAGGCCTAAAGAAGTGGCTTCTTAATAGTGCAAGAAAGGTATTTTGAAGAGAGAGAGAGAGAGAGAGAGAGAGAGAGAGAGAGAATGCAATAGAATGTAGGGTTGGGGTAAGAGTGAAAGGAGATGTCATGTGATGTGGCCATCTTTGTTTTAACATATAAAAGTGTAAATGAGAGTGTGGAACTTTTGCTTGACTAACATACATTACATACCTCTTTTTTTTTTAATTTGGTTCCTATTTAATTGTAAGGATAGAAATGTAATTCCAATAAACATTTTCTCCCCATTGAAATGCCTCTCATTTAAGTCTTGTATGTAATGTATATACTCCCATAAACATTTAATGAATCCTATTATTGACTAGAATACCCCTATTTTTGTATTTGGTCTCTCTCTAATTGTGGGGACACAAAATATAATTTTAAACTACTACATTTCTCCTCATTCAACTCCCTTTGAGTCTTATATTTAAGATATTAACTCCCATTATTTCATTGAACCTTATATTAATTGATCAGATTAATATTAATATTAAAGAACAAGTGTGAGAAGGCATAATCATTTTTATAGATAAATAGAAATAAAATACAAATTTAAAACCAACCCAAAAATTGAGTTGTTTTCATGAAAAGACACAAAGTATAAAAGATACAAAAAAAATGTAGAAAACATTTGGGCAGATATTTTGCTATAATTAGACCTGTTCACAGGTCGGGTCAGGCTAGGTTCAGGTCGGGCTTTGTCTCTGTATTAACAAAATATATTCAAGCCTAAGCCCAAGCCCGAGTCGACCATCGGGCCTAGGTCTTGAGCCCAAGCTTGGCCCTTATACAAAGACCAAATCCCAAGCCTGGCCAGAAAATTGGAAAAAGATTTTTTTTATTCGATAAAAGATTGTTTTATTTATATTAAAAGACCTCAAAACCTAAATGGAAGATATCACTATCACTTGAAAAAAAGAGATGAATAATAAAGAAAAAGTATTATATATTATATAATACATTATCAAGTTGAGCTTAGGCTCGGACCAGGCTTTTTTGAGAAAGCCCAAGCCTGGCCCGAAAAAAGATCAAGCCCTAGATCGTGGGCCTAGAATCCTATCCAAGCCTGACTTAGATTGGACTGGACTGGGCCGGCACTTTGAGCTACCCAATCTATGAACAAATTTAGCTATCATCATCATAAAAATTATCGCGTGCAAAGCACATTCACACTTACTAATAGATACTAAAACAAGGAATTGTTTGAATTTTTTTCCCTTTTTTGAATTTTTGATTTTTTATTCCAAGTCATTTTTATAAATTAATAACCAATAGATATTCTAATTCCCCCTCTCACTCTCCTAAAAATACCATCTTAACACTCTCAACTTTCCACCTCAACACCCTTATTTTCGCTTTCACTCCCCACCCATTTAAACTCTTAAAGTTTAAGGAAAATTCTTAACTCCCCTTTATTCTCTCCTCCACTTTCTCATAAAAAAGGCATTATTTTTATAAACTGTGTATCTCCAAAAGAAATGCCCTCATTATTCTCTCCAAAATTATTTTCAACTCTTCAAAGAATAACCGAGAATCCTCATTATAATTCTCAAACATTTGAGAAATAGACATCAAAGGGGTTTCTAAACCTTATTCCTTGCTAGCTATGGTGTCATGTATGTAGTGTGGAACAATGGATATAAATCTAAGGATAAAAAGGTAAAACCCTACCAACATATACAACATGATTCATGACAAATGACAAAATTGATGCCTCATTATGCATTAGAAGCAAAACAATACATCTCTGCAAGGCCAATGAGAAATTCATGAAACCTCACAAAGAGTAGTGATCAAACCTTACATGATCAAGATAATTTGACCTCATGAGCCAAGCTTATGAGGCAAGGTTAATTTAACCTCGCAAGCCCCACAAGGGAAAGTTTAATTCGACCTTGTGAGCCAAGCTTCGCAAGGCAAAAATGGTTCGACCTCAAGGACCAATCCTCACAAGGCAAAGCCAATTCGACTTCATGAGGAAAGACTAATTCGACATCATGAAACTAAACCTCATGAGGCAAAACTAATTTAGCCTGTAATTATTTTCCACACCGTTGCCGCTAAAACTATATATATTTTTCACACTTGCCCAAATAACCTATAATTATTTTTAATTATTAAATAAGCTTATAATTTGCTTCATATAACCTATTTTATATTCATTCATCCAAATTGAAATGAAAAACAAAAAACAAAACATCAAATACAAATAAAATAAAATAATTATTCCCCATTCATTCATTCATTCTTAAAAATATAAATTACATCCATTTGTTCTTAAAAATATCCAGTTCCATTCAAAAGACTTCATTTACAAAAACTTCTTTTCAACTTCTCTCAAAATCTTGTTTGGATATGAGAGAGAACTTCTCCTCTTGGGATATGAGAGAAAAGTTATGCTTGTCTTCATCAAAGCCATAAATGATCTTGTGGATGATCATTGCACTTCTTGGAAATGCTACTTCTGATACTTCTCTTATGAAATTAAGTAAAAGCACAAAATCGGTTGCCTTTGAAAGGCCCTTGGCAAGATTAAAATATGAAATTGAACTCACAGTTTGACATGAGAGCAAGAAATCCTTCAATATTTGAAATAGAAGCTCAAAATCATTCCCTTCACTAGTGGCCATCAAGAGGGCATTATATGAATTTGCACTCAAGAATTACTACTTATTACGTAGATGATGTAGTAATCTTGCAACATCCACTAGATTTCCACCTCTGTATAGCTTCTCAACATAAATAATATAAATTCCCTTAAAGAGAGAGACAAACAAATCTAGGTCTCTAATCCTTCTTCATGGTGGTAATAGAGTCGTCCTTGCTGCATCTATGCTATTCCACCAGCAAGATACCACATTGCTTCTCTCACATCATCAAATCATAGAAAGCCTAGAATGTGTAGGGTAATGCAAATTGTCAATAATCTCAAATAATGTGGAAAATATGCTCTTAAAGATATTTAACCTTAAATTTTGTCTAATTATCTTTTTTGAAACCATTTTTAAAAGAGTTACAACAAAAGCTTTTAAAGTTAGAACCAACCTATCTTAGCTTTTCATAACTAGAGTAAATCCAACCTTTTCACCCCCGCTACAAAGAAAAGCTGAACATTTTATAAAGACAATGAGAAGTCTACTAATTCAGGAAATTACAAAACAATGAACTAATCCCCACACAAAAGACAACTACTTCCAATTCCAAAATGAGTTGGACTAGCTTCAGGGCTAACCTAGGCCCAACAATAAAACTTGCCCCCCCCCCCCCAGTTCAATGTCTGATCCAACCTAAGGAATAGCCTGAAAATGGTAGTACAAGTTGAATCCAAGCTAAACCTAAGCAAAACAAAGGCCAGGTTTGAATCTAGGTGGATTTAATTGGGTTGGTCGAGTTTGAGTGTTTTCTTTCAAATGTCTGTAGTATTTTATTCAATTAGACTATATACTTAATTACTTATATGGTCAAAACATCATAACAAGCCAACCAACTTCGATATAACAAGATGCTAACTATTCCTAATCACTCCAACACTCGAAACTGCATGGCTTTACTATTCCTAATCACTCCAACACTCGAAACTGCATGGCTTTAATAAATATATAAGAAATTGGTACAGTGGTTTAATAGTTTTCACTTGAATCTTACATTCATTCATTACACTTCTAAAAGCAGTTCTAACTAATCCTCATATATTCTTGGTAAACTTTAGGTACTTAAGATTGAATCATACATTATTGAAGTGATTATTAATCAAATTGAATTTCAGTAGATTTATGATTTTGAAGGGCAAATGTATCATTTATGAACCTATTAAGAATTTAAACAAAGTTCATGCCCAGATCTTTAGGATGAAAATAGATATAAGTAATAAAATATGCTTTGCACCTAAAATCCCATTGTTTAGAACCTAATAATTTTACAACTTTAGTTTGAAATTAGTATCCATGTCACATCATCAAAATGATCGTAACCTCAGTGCTAATTTCACCATCATCCTCATCCAAGCCTTACCCCAAATATATGAGGTTGGCTACATGAATCTTGTTTCGCCATTCCACTCTATTTAATGCCACATCCACTATTAACTTTAGTGCTAATCTATGGCAATAAAACATTTTAGTTAGTGTGCCAATGCTTCTTACTGATAAAAAAAAGGTGTATTGATGCTTCTAACATTTACAAAAAGAAATAGTAAATACTTGAAAAAATATTCCAAATGTTTCCCATTCTATGACTTAATACAAACATTAAGACAATATTTTTGGGGATTTTTCATATTATTTGATGATTGGGATTGGAACCAACCCAATTTTTAAATTTTTGACCTACTAATTGCATGACCCTATTTTACTTCCATCATTTTCTTTCCTCAACTAAAAAAAATGATGAACAAAGGATGATAATATTGTAATATGAACACACTGACCATAAAAGTATAGGTATTCTATGGATGAAAATGGCTATGGTGGAATAAATTGCTTTTACCTCCACTATTTATTGGATATATCTCAAGTTCCAACTTACACGCATGGGTTACAATCAAGAGTATCTTAATTAGATTGGATATATATAGTAATGGTGATTTTGATTTTTCAAGGGAGATGAGGTGTAAGTGTAAACCAATTATTTCTCCCTCTATTGTTGTATTGAGATTCTATTCTTTTTATTCATTTAATGGGATTGAGATAGACAAGTTTTCTTACCTTGGATAATGGGAAGAGAGTATAAAACAAAAGCTGATCTATAGCAGGATTTCATCTAGAACAAAAAAAGTATTCCTTCATAGTCTACTAGGTAATTTGTGATGCAATCTATGAATATGTATATAGAGTGAAGTTCAAAACAGCATACCCACTTTGGTTTTGACTTCATGGAATTTTTGTCTTCAAGAAAACCTCAGACCTAAGAAACAAAGTATTTTAAAGCATGAGTAGTACCTATTCGAGTGTTTATAAGGCAATATAAACATATTCGTACACATACTAACTTAAGTCATAAAAGCAAAGGGGGGAATAACATGAGATTTAACACTTGCAAAATTCTATCTGAAGTCGGTCAAAGTGGACAACAAGTATGGAAGACTTGCATAGCTTAAATATTTTATAACAAAAAAGTAAAAAAAAAATGATATCATAAGTACACACCCCAACTCTGACTGGTGTGTTGTGACACAACTCATTAGGAACAACATCTTTTACTTGCTCCCAAAGAGATAGCAAAAAATCTACAGCCTTCTAGGGATCATTAGCATATGCACTCAAACCTGGTTTTTTCCTACAACAATGAACCATAATTATAGGAAAACATAAACACTAGACATGTACATCATAGGATAGGCCTCATATATGTTAACATGAAAATGTCTTCATTTATCTCTAATTATGGATCCTAAAATAAGTAGAGTGAGGAAACATTCATAGAACATATATTAATTTGAGTTTTACAAGTGAAACAATAGGAAGCAACAATCATTCAATGATCCCTTTCTATAGACCTCATATGCTTTGTCCAATCAGTGATACAATAGAAAAGATACTTGCAGTGGAAATTGATTAACCTCAACAATTTAGTAGGTAAGGATTAGTAAATTTTTGGCTTAAGCCACAGATGTTGCAGACATATTAGCAAATTATGGTCTTGAATCAGATGAATATGCATTTGTGATGAATGCCCTTCAAAAGAACCTCCAAGCATGGATTGATTTCATGAAGTAAGTTGGCTTTGTTTATATATACAGCACCATTTCAAAATATGTTTGGACCTAGGACCAACATTTGACATAAGTAGAATAAGAGAAAAAAAACCCCATATAACTCAGTTTCAAGAATGAAAAATACAATAAATAATTCCATTATACATATGTGCTATGCTAAAAAACATTTGCTAAAAATGAATGTGTTTAATATGTCATCTTTAACAAAATATAGAATAAAAACTTTGGCATTATTTACATGTAAATGTATGCTTAATCTATTATAAATATGCTTCATTAAAAATATATTTATAATCATATTTATATTATTAGATATATCACAAAATAAAGCACCCCTATTTTTATTATGCATTTATGAAATTTGTATTATTCATGTATTATATGCTTTAATTCCTATGATTTTTTGTGTATTTGTATGGTTCAACATCTAACATATTTTTGGAAAATATGAAGATTCAGTATATATTTAATTAATTTTTAAGGTCATAAGTGCAATTGATTGTGTATGTGATTTTCCAACACTAAAGCCAAAACCATGTTCTTGAATTTGGTTTCAAAAACATGTTTTCATCTTATTGTTCAACGTCATGTTCCATAAATCATATAATTTTAATACTAGAGAACTTGTTATTGTTTTCTATTTACAAATAGGACTCATTGGATATGATGAACTTCTATTTACAAGACATGGCAAGACTAACCTGTAGATGATGTAGCACTATATACAAACCAATCTTATTTGCACCAAGCACAAGAAAGAAATAAATAGTCATTAGGTCCATATATTCACTTAAAGAAGAAAAGATATGAATATATATGGGGGTTAGTGAAAACTGATGATTTTTGAAAATTTTCTGATTTTAAAAAATCACAAAGGCCAATATTTGTTATTGTCACCAAAAAATAAAATCAACATTGAATGGATTTGAATTGAAGATGCACTTTTCACTAAAAATTAACATAATTTGGGTGCAGATTCTAATTTATTTTTTGTTTAAATTTTACCTTATTATATTCATTTGTAGTACAAATGAAGTAAAATAAGACATGTCAATAGAATAAAGTAAAACCCAAAACAAAAATAAACTACTATTTGTATCTAAAATGACTAGTGGGAATTAAAATAGTCAAGCATTTGCTGTAGTTGGGAATGGTCCTCAAACATTTTCATTCTTAAAAACCTAGATAGCGTATAATGACATTCATAGGGAATGTTTCTGGTGTTCTATTGAGCAGCAAACAATTGTCTTTCTGTTACTAGAATAAGAGAAATGTTCCACAAAAATTTCATAAGAACACTTTGAAAAAGACCAAAAACTTCAAAAGTAATAGATGACTCCAAGAATCAAAGAAAAAGACCAATAATTGCACTTCACAACAAGACAATCTGAAAATGCAATGCCAATTGAAAAAAAAAAAAGAGAACCTGTTAAGATATAAAAGCTAAATTCCAAGATGTGTATATGCAATAGAGACCATCTGAATAGGTAAAAAACATATTTCCATCTTGGCAACCATGTTGTCAAAGTGTTAGTATTACTTGCTTGGGACAACTTAGAAAAAAGTATGTTGAATATTCAATTAATGAATAGGTCCAATAGCATATCACAAAGTAATTTTGAAGCTTCATTTGTTTGTGTTTATCTCTAATTATTTAAAATAATATAGTATATGCTTTTATATGTTATATGTGAGACCAGATATGCTCCTCACACACACATCCTACCATGCATTGGGAACATCTCTCGTACTTATAAGTAATTATTCATGGGAGATTTTCCCAATGCATAGTGGATGTGCTTGTGAGGCACCCATGTGTGAGGAGCAGATCCCATTCCATTGTATGGGTGTTGTTACTTCAACTAGTGATGGAACATTGTCGATGGTGTATAAACATAAAGATGGCATAAATAAGAGTGTGGAAAATAAGTTATTTTGTGTTTTTTTCCACATTCAATGTTGTGCATAAAATAAATTTTTAATACCAAGCATTGCTAGTCATTGCATTGACTAGAGAGGTCACAATGATGAGAACTTAATCACAGTAATATTGGCAAAATGCAGAAACCAAGAACTCTTAATTGAATAAAGAAAGAACCCTTAAAGCCACACCTTTAAGTTTTGCATCTCAACAAGATATAGACCATGAAGAAGAAAAAATAAAAAAGAAGGGTGATCAGGCCAAATCTATGACTGACTAATTCCTAGGAAAATTTGATTTTTTTCCCCTCAAGTGAGATGCCATGTATGTGTCCAAGATCTAAGAAAAAAAAGTTATGTCTCTGTTTCTCATATCAAAAACCATTGCAATCAAATTTAACTTATATCCAATTACTGAAATAACTAGAAATCAATATACAATGAAGCAAGTCAGAAATTTAATTATTTTGCACATATAGAATCTAGAATAATTAGTATGGATGCTCATTCTCTTCGATAAAAAAAATTAGTTTTCATTAGCAAGCATGGAAAATAGAGCCTTGGCCAAATTTGAAATCCAACCAATAACTTCATTTCAAAAGGTAAAGTAAAACTCTATTAACCTAAAAATATCAGCTACACACAAAAGAGCATATATACAATAGATGTATTTATCTGGAATAATTACATACAATACTAACTTACAAAGAGTCATAATAAAAAAAAAAGGAAGGGGATTCTTTGAATTCCATGCAATGGATAGTCATGAGTTAAGCATACTCAAAACCTTTCTAAGGATTGCTTCTAGTGTCAAGATGAGATTTTCAAGTATATAAGAGTGTTCATTTTGTTCCAATGAACAGGGATTGCTTTCAAGAGGAGACTACACATTTCAGAGTTTAATTAATTGCTACCTTAGTGCAAACGAGAATCAACATGATTCTAATCAAAAGGGATCTACAGCCCAGCCAACTGAATTCCTTAAGCTAATCAACATGATTTTACTACTTACTTACCTACAAAAATTTAAGCAAATCTAGAAAAAAATTAAGAAGATAACATCAAATTCAACAAGAAAATCGAATAAACCAAGCATGGTTGATAATGAATCTAACCTAACTTTACCATTAAACTAAATAAACGATGAAATTTGCCTACTAATATCAACATAAATGACAAAAATCCAATCCTAAGGGATAACTATCCTAGGTCATGGAGGCTTTTGATCTTACCTTTTGTCGCTAATGAATGAATAAGGATGTGAGATGTGAGAACCTGAGACGAGGAGGTTGTTTCAGAAAAAAAAGAAAATCCAATGAAGATTGTTGGAGAGAGAGAGAGGGCCTTCATTGAATCAATAAGATTGTGGCGTGATTACGAGAAGTTTGTTGCATTGGAAAATGAACTCAAACTTAAGATCTAACGTGGTCTCCCACTTGTTACTGCACTAGAGCTTCAGAGAGAGATTCTGTTGCTGATGAGAAATCAGAAATGGTTGAGAGAGAGAGATTGAGAATAAGAGGTGAAAAACTGGTCGAGAGAGAGAGAGAGAGAGAGAGAGAGAGAGTGGGAATACGAAAGGGTGAGAAAATAAAAGAGCAGGAGAGGGAAAATCTGGGTTTTGCGGGGTTTAAGCGGCACCGCCAAAGACTTAAAATTTCTACCAATAGTCATCCATTTGCTAGTTAAAAAACTGCCACTAATGCCTATTTTTATTATAGTGACTCTAATGCTTGACTTGTAGGGAGTGGTTAGGGAATTCAAGAAACCCAAAGTTGAACACTCAAAAGGAAAAGAAGTACCATTACCAGTGCCTTGTAATATTAATATGTCAATTGGATATTATTGGAGAATTTGAAAAAATTTTAGGTTCTTGTATTATTAACATGCCAATTGAATATTGTATTTGAACAATTTGTTTTGGACTTTTAAATGTAATTAATCTTTAAATTATTAAATATTTTAAATTATATTGTTTATCAAAATTTTCATGTATCATTTGTTATAGGAATTGTATTAAATTGGTATTAAAATATTGAACCATTAGAAAAATCCAGGTACCAAAAATATTGCGTGTAATTTTTCTAAAAGAAAAAGGGCTTTACCAATAGTTAGTGTCCGCTGACTTCGCTATAAACAAGATAAAAATTGCCTTTACATAGGATCTAAGGCAATGGTCAATGTCTATCAGCGTAGCTATTGACAAAACCAAAGGTGGCAGTCTAAACTACAACCGAAAAAGTTTGAGATGCTTTGCAATCATTGACTTGGCTGTCATATAGGACCTACGGTGGTGATTAGGACAGCCACATTAATCATGCTAAGCCGACAATCCTAAAAAAAAAAAAAAAACACTGCTTAGAGAATTTTGGTATAGCCTTGCACTGGCAAACAAAGGTGGCAATCTTTCCTACCTAAGCCGATGGTCCTGATCGAAGGCGACACTGGACTTTGGGGCAGCTGGTGGTCTTTAGACCTAAAATGGCAGTTTTGAGACCGTCAACTTATACCATTTTACTTGTAGTGCTTGTATGACTTAATCCTAATTACCAACTTACAATCTTTGTTGATTAGACATTTAAATAAGGGGATTTTAAGTTGAAATTTCGTGTGTGAACATGAATTAAGATGAGTCAGGTGGAAGGTTTTGATTTGATAAAGAATGTGTTAATCCCGATTATTTAGTTTTTCATCCAAGGCTGTCAAAATGGTATATTGGCATTTTTAAGTTCGATCATCATAGATTTGAGGTGAGATTTTGTGGTTGATTGTATCTTAGTATCCTTGAGGTAATGGATGTGTTAGATTGGATTTTTTTAAAGTTTAGGTTTGACAACTGCATAGATCGGGATTGTTAAAAAGCAAGCATGTATGATGAACATTAGATCTTTGGACTTTGGTTATGAAATTCAACAAGCAACTAAGTTTTAGTTTCCATAGTCTAATGATTATATATTAAAGCCTTTGTAGTGTCAGACGTTGATCTTAATGTTTTCGACTTTTTGTTAATCAGATGTCGAGTTTATTGGTGTAGTTTACATGAGCATTTGACATACGAATTATGCTAAAAGAGGGAATTTTGGGTATGTTGCCATGCCTTCTATTTGTAATTTGGTAAAGTTCATGGAAGTGTAAGAAATGACAAATTATCTCTAAATTTTCCATAAAAGTTGAGTATATTTCCATGTCTTCTATTTATAGTGAATTGGCATGGCTTCTTGCTCTCTTGGATGACCTTGTTCTTACTTATTCCACTTTGATCCATCTTTATGCTGATAATGTTACTGTAATCAAGATTGCTTCAAATTCAGTATTTCATGAAACAACCGAACACATTAAGGTTGATTATCACTTTATAAAAGAGTTATATCTAGTCGGTCTCGTCATCCTTCCTCACATGTCTTCTGCTCTTTAATTGGTAGATTTCTTCACCAAAACTTTGACATATGCCCAACACCAATTTCTCAGTGACAAACTGATCATGCTTATTCATGGGCATAAATTTGAGGGGGCATAAAGATATGGAATGGTTTTCCTTGAGACCTTGTTTTTACTATGCCTTGTTTGTATCTTATGTCTTGTTGTACATCACCTTTTCTTTTTTTATTTACATTTGTCTTTCTCTTGTATGTGAAGAGCACTTTTGCCCTTTCACTATATTTCACTAAAGGCAAATTTCTTAAAGTACCCCTAAGTAGGTACGTTAACGGATTAGGTTAAATGTTAAACCCGGCTTGACCCAACCCTATAGGGTGGGGTTAGGGCCAGGTACACTCGGCTTTAAGGTCGGGTTAGGGTTTTGATTCTTTGACTCGAGTCAGGTTCGGGTTTTGTCTAACCCACCTTAGTGGGTCATGATACCCTACAAATATATACCAAGTACTCTTGCAATTTTTTGACTTCTAACTTTATAGACTTAAATTTTATGATTTAATTTCATGTTGATTTTGGTTTTCTTCTTCTTCTTTTTTTTAATGGAAAAAGTAACACCTCAAAATCTATAAAAGAATTTCCTAACTTAAATTAATGTATTTTAGGTCTTCAAAATGTGTATTTGAAATGCTAAAGGTCGAGTCAGGTTGGATTTAAACTCTATAGAGTCAGGTCAAATTTGGAAATCATCTATTTTTTTAGTCGATCAGGTCAAGTTTGGGTGTATGCTGAAGGGTTAGGTTAGGGTTGAGGCAAACTTGTGGTGAACCCGATCCATTGACATCCCTACCCCTAAGGCTTAAGAAATTGACTAGCTCCTTACTTTTTAAGTATTGTCTTAAAGTACCTTCAAGGTTTGTAACAGTTGTCATTGCCGTTAAGTACTAACGAGAAAGGACAAAATGTCAAATTTGCCCTCACTATTCCTCAAAACTTCAAAATAAAACCTGACTAATGAAAATTTTCAAGAACTATAAGATAGTCTGTGGCAGCATTTCCCGTTGTAGTTCTTGTAGTGCTCCTGATTGTCTTCCTCCGACGGTGGTCGAAAGTTGTTGTAATTCACTAAAAGGAACTTGACACCATAAAAAGTAACTTGTAGTGGCAAATGAAAAAAGAAACAATTTCAGACCCTTTCCACACCCATTTTTATTATGAATGTTTTGGCTAGATTAGATATGGAAGGCAAGTAATTGATCTCAACGAAACTGTATGAAGTTGAGAGCCCAAGACCAAGTCATCTTCTCATTTGGGCAGTGATCCAGTCAATTAACATACATTAATAGATCTAGATTAGATCATCAGAAGTTAACCTCTATTTTTCCTACCTCTTTGTTCTCTATTCAACCAAGTAGCAACTCCTTTGTTCCCTATTCTTCGAATTTCAATATTCAAATGATCATCAGGGATTAACCTATAAAATCCATTGTGGACATTCGCTTGAGCTCCCCAAGTCCAAGACATGAATGTTGTTCATGAAGAACACCATAACCAGCTGTTGGTGAACTCAAATTCTTCTGAGAAAGTCTTCATTTTGTTGGGAATAATCCCAAAGTTTTCCTTGTGAAAAATCATAGAGATTTTCAAGAACAAATATCAAGTATGCAGCAGTAATAAAACAAATAACCAAAACAGAGTTAGCAATAGTAGTAGACACCAAGTTTTGACATGGAAAACCCCTCAATGTGAGAGTAAAAACCACGGAACTGAAGTCCAAATCATGCACTATTAGAAATAGTAATGGGGTACAATGTTTTTCTATCTAGTTACAACTACATAATGAACATCAAGAAAGCTCTTGGGTACCAATAAGAGAAAACATCATTAAGATAAGTAACAAACATGAAATCTCTCACCAAAGGTGGAACCATAGCAATGGAAGCAAAAGGAGGTGCTGAAAACGGATTTGTCTTATTCGTTTCAGCCCTTGTAACTCTTCTTCTTCTTCCCATAACCTTATTCTCGAAACCCCTTTTCTATTCTCTGATATTCTAGAGAGCTGTTAGAGTTGAGAGAGTAGAGAGTGAAGTGAGCTCTCTCCAATTCTTTGGTTAGCCAAGGACGTGTTGGTTTGCTTTGCAAGCCAATTCAAAAAGTCTCTTGACTTTCCATTCCTTTCTTTTTTGTTTTTCTTCTTTTCTTTTCTATACCTTTATTTGTGGGTTCCACCTCATAAGGAGGAAACCCCAATACATTTTTCCTCATAAAATTTTAATTGTTAACTACTTCTCTTAAATGGCAAAACCAAGTCAAACAAAACCAAATCGTTTCCCAAATATGTTATGTTTTGTTATAGAGAAAAACTGGATTACGACTCTCCATCTATTAAATCTCTCTCTCATCAAAACACCCAATCTCTTCATCCAAATCCTTTGCAAAACCAAAGAAAACCTGGAAATCTCTTTGGATTTCTTCAATTGGAACAAAACAAATGTGGAGCAAAAAGGAAAGGAAATACAACATAATAAATGAGTTGTGAATTGAAAGTTGAAACTTACAATCCTCCCTTTGAATCAAGACGCCTTTACAACCTTACAAAGGTAACTACCAGCTCTAACAAATTCACAGATCTACCTATACACCTCTGATTGGTGGTTTCTTCCTCCTATTGCCAAACATGGATCCAACTATGACCAATCAAATAACCAAATGAATTAAAGAATTTGCATCAGCTGCAAAACAAGACTTCATCATGCATCAAAGCCACATCTACGGCTGCATCAACATGAGAGCTATAATAGCTATAATTTTATGACAGTAAATCACAAGCACAATACTCGCTTAAATCAATTTTCTCCATGGTCATCGCCAAAACTAACAGTAGAAACAATGCTTACTAATAAAGCAAACATTCTCTAAGTCTTACTTTGTACTCTCTCTACTCTCTAGAGACCTTACTTCATCGTTAAAATTCCTCCCCAAGTTAATTGGTGTCTTTAGAATTTGGCCCAAGAGGTAGAGTTTCTCCAATCTGAACCTCGACCCTATTTTTAAACGGTGGAAAGGTGTTTGTGAAGCTGGGGTTCAATTCAACTCAGCTCAATGTAATCGGAAGCTCATTGGAGCTTATCTCTTAAAGCAACATAGGTTTAACTGTTGCCCACAAAAAGCTAATGGGTTTAAAATAATTATACGTCACATGGTGTCACATGTGCATGGATTGTGACAGAACATTAATTGACGCTAATAGTAGGGGTAGAGCTAGTCAATTGTCAGAAAACATAATGGTACCTTAACACAATTTGTAAACAGTAGGTGTAGAGCTAATCGATTTCCTAAACCTTAAGGGTACTTTAAAAAATTGCCCTTTCACTAAATTAATT